GGTGGTGAGACAGAAGTTTAGTTTTGTTGCTGGTTTGGTATGTCTCATGGAAGAATAACGACCAGTTATGGAGTGTGTCTGCCATTTTTCCCAGCAGCCTGTCCTGAATTTGGTATTCTCAGTTGTGACCCACGGAGGCACGGTGACAGCAGGCAAAAACCTTCATGAGTTCCGCTACGATCTTAGGGGCGGTGGTGGATCACAAGTGGACAGCCTCGGAATACTGGGTTGCATAGTCCGTGATAACCAGGATGTTAGTTAGGTCAGTTGTGCTCTTCTCAAGGGGGCCTATAAAATGTAGCCCTATCTGCTCGAAGGACATCCCAACCACAGGCAGCGGAACAAGGAGAGCTTTTGGCACTCCCTTCAGTCCAGTACCCTGACATTCTGGGCATGAGTCGTAGTAATCTCATACCTTCCCCGATGGATGCTTGGCCAGAAGAACCTCCTTGCTATCCTCTGGAGAGATTTTTCCCTTCCCAGGTGTCTGGCCCAGGGCACCACATGGGCTAGATGCAAGAGGCCCCGGCGTAAGCTCCAGGGAACCAATAGCTGTCGGAGCACTTTATGAGTCTGGGGCTGTTGCACCACACAATAGAGAAGGTCCTGCCATACCCTGAAGTGGGGTCCCTGCGGTGCCCGGAGGGTATCTTCCTGGCCCCTAACTATGGTCTACTCCAAGGCTCAGCTAAGGGTTGGATCCTCAGCTTGAGTGTCGTCCACAGTTGCACTTGCGTGAGGGGGTGATACAGCTGTCATTTCCCCATCGGGGGAAGTCCCTTCCCTGGGTTGTCGTAACCTGGTTGTAACCGAGGAGACCCCTCAGTGTTCTTTGATCAGTTTCCCCTGTTGGCGAGTAACAGGCACAGTTCTATAAAAAGTCCCAGAACCACAGTCAGTCTCATCCCAGGATAACCAGATAGGCCAGCTTAGGGGTCAGGCTGACCTGCAGGGCCGCAAAATGGTGAGAGATCTCCAAGGCCACCCAGGTAGCGAGGTAAAAGTTCACATCTTCATGGACACACTGTAGGTGTATTCAAAATCCATTTGGTTCGGGAGCTGGGACCAGCTCCCTACAGATGAGGGTCTGACTACACCTGGAGTCAAACAAAGCCACTATGGGTGTCCCATTTACATGCACAGGAACCCTGGCCTTCCCTGGGGCCTTCTTCCGGGCCCATGGGCTGGCTACCCATACCTGTCTATAGTTACAATCCATACAGGAGCAATCCCTTCAGAAATGCTCCTCTTGGCCGCACACAACTGTCTGGGGATTCGCCGGCCAACAGGTCCACTTTCGCCATGCTGGTCCATGCCTTATTCAAAGGGCAGTAAGGCCTATTAGCAAGTTGATGGGCCGCTACCTCGGGGGGAGGGGAGCGGCAGCCGGGGTAGGGGGACTTGGACCCACCCTGCTCCACCAGGGCCTTAAGAGTGGCAAAGAGTTCTGCCACGAAGCAACTGGTTTGGCTGGCCTGGGAGCTGCTCCAGCCACGAATGGGTGCGAAGCTGCCCAAGCAGTTGGCCCGGGGGCCACTCCAGCCATGGCTGGCTGCAGGGCCACCCAAGCAGCTGGCCCAGGAGCCAGCTGCTTGTGCAACCTTGACGTCAGCCACAGCCACCACAGAAGTTATGGAGGTTGCAGAAAGTCATGGAATCGGGGACTTTCGCAACCTCCGTGACAAACAGAGCCCTAAACATGATTAAAAAAATATTCTTATTCATGTTATTTATGTAGCTGTATCTAATCTTGGGGAATTTAAAAAAAGAAACTCCCACTGACCCTATCACTGGTTCAGATGTTGAACCAGCAGTAGCCCTAGTGTAAATGATGACTGGATGATTTAGTTGGGGATTGGTCCTGCTTTGAGGACCTCCTGAGGTCCCCTCCAACCCTGATATTCTATGATTCTAAAACAATGCTACTGGAGACTCATCTGCAGTTTTTACTACTGTGATGAAAGTCAACACTGGTGCAGTCTCAAACATAAGGGCCGGTAGCACAGGTTCGCATACTAAAGCGAACTACACTCTCAGAGATCCAAGGGTTTCCAATCTGCTTTCATATTTTCATCCACTAGAGATATAGCACAGGTATCACTGAAGTACAATGTAGATTGCATTCTTACAAGGCATAGCTAATGCTTCCCTGACTCCAGCACTGAAAATGGTGGATTTGGACAAACTTTGAGGATAAAGTCTTTGAAACACTTCAAGTCAGTATTACAAGATGACCCACTTGGAGCCTCTAGGAGGGTTTTCAGGTGCACCTGGCTTAAGAACTGTAGCCAATTCATTCATGTTACCATTTAACTGCGTTATCTATTGATGCGGCAAACTCATGTTATTACATACATGATCAAAGAGCGATGACTAGATTTAAATTGCAGGTATAGGTACAGATATGAGTAGACAGGATTACAAGATGGACAAGCATTTAGGAGTATATAAGTAAAGCAAAGCTGTAACACAAGGGCCTACAGGCTAAGTAAGGCCCGTAAGATTTCAGCTTAGTCACACTGGGCCTCAAGCTTAAGGAGGCCGGACATAAGTAGGTGACCCACGAATGACCCCATGCCAGTGAAATTACAAGATTACTGTAAAGAAAATGCCTTACAGGTGATGTTCTGAGAAAATATGTCACAATGTACCCATCTAGACAGCAAGACACCTGATTGTAACATCACTGTAAGTTCTGCTTACTGCAGGTTACCATGGAAACATGTGCATGTAGCTGTTATGAGAATAAAGGGAACTAAAAAAAAAACAACCTATGAGACGCGGCACCCCAAAAAACTATCGGGTATGGAAGTTCAGATAAGGAAAAGGAGGTTGGAACACTCCTGCATATGGATAAGTTGTTAGGCATGGTCATAATAGGATAAAAAGGATTCCCTGCTATGGATAGGGTGGGAAGATCACCTGTTTAAGAGGTCCACCAGACTCTATATCATCTTTGGCTATGTATGAACACTGCATTGACTCTCTCAAGTTTTGCATACTTATGTGTGATTGTAACCCTAATCAGTAAAACTATTAATACAGACAAGACTTCTTACTTGCGACTACACGTGATCACTGTCTTTGTATGTTCCTAGAGCCTTCCAATTTAAGAGAATTGTGAAGGGTAACTTTCACCCTGTTAATCTGTAAACTGTGGCACTGCAGGACCCAGACTAACTCCCTACGGACACTGTAGTTTGACACAATGCAGTCTGGCCTTGAGAAAGGTTAAACTAGAGACAGAGCCCTGATGACGTACAACGGAGTGCTAAAGCAGCAATAGTAATGTTGAGATAATGATGCCCTAACCCACCCTCTACATATCATGACCCACTGATCTGGAAGCCTGGCCAGGTAAGGTCCAATAACACACTGCACCAACAAAACACAAGAACTTAAAAACAAGAATTTAAAAAATTGTTTAATAGTAAATGATTGGGAAAGTAAGAGCATCAGTAGTAGCATCAAGGCAAATCCATAAGCCAGTTGTCAAGATCTGGAGTGAAAGGAAAGTTGGAAAGGAAATGGGCGAGGAACTATTTCAAAGATTCAACTGGAGAGAATGGGGAGTCTTCAGCCTGTCTCATGCAGGAGCACAAGAGTAAGACTCATGCAAAAGAAAACTATGTACACGTCTAGTATTGGGCAGGTTAGTAGTCTTACAATGAACAATCATTCTAGGCTGAAAAGGAGTCTCAAAGAGATGTTCCCTTTTTCAATCAGGGGGCTCCATGCATTTCATGAAATGTTACTCTGAATCGCTTCTCTATCCATCCGCTGCTTTCCAAATACACTTTTAGACAATTAGATTATCATATTCTTAATGGTTTGCTACAGGTGTAGGGATTAATTTTTAGAGGTACACAGCTCTCAAAGATTACATTCAGCATCTTGTTAAAAAAAAAATCAGACCAGTTACTTCAAAAGAGATTTAGTGCCTTACCTTAGGCACTAACGTTTGTAAATTGTGGTCTAAGTTTCCAGGCCCAATCACACAAAAAACCAAACCCACACACATTGTGCCTTGATGCAGGAGTTTTCATTAGTCTGCAAAGAAGGTGCAAAACATTGGAGTCCACTTTCTTTTCAACACACATTAACTAAGGCCACTACACACACTACTCTTCAGTACAACTACATTGTACCCCGAGCAACTTAGTTATACCTACCTTAACCGCCCCCCACGTAGACAACACTATATCAGCAGGAGACATAGCTACCACCTCTCATGGAGGTGGAGTTATTAAGCTGACAGGAGACAATCTCCCCCATCAGCTTCTTAGAGCATCTTCACCAGAAGCGCTGCAGAGGTGCAGTTGTGCCAATGGAATTTTGTAGTGTAGACCTACCCTAGACTTGAATACTAATGCACATGCAATTTCACTACCGATAGTAGAACAAAAAAAAGTAGGGAGATAGAATCTGTAGCCCCATGGGCTTCATATCTTCCCCCCGCCCCCCAGCAACACATAAAAATGCTTCTTGATAAAAATTGCCAGTCCAATATAACATTTAAAATAAAAGCATTTATATAGCAAGTACAACATAGGTATTCCCATCTTTTTCTTTTTAGTGTGTTTTCTCTTAAACCTGCGCCAAATGTCTGAGACTTTCATCATTTTCACCCTTTCAAATAATTTGTTTTCTAGGCTTTTCTCCCCACCCTCGTGTTCAGCGTTTGCCGCTACCAACACCCAGCCCCGCGGAGCTCAGGGTGGGATCCTGCCCAGCCTGCAGACACAAGCCTGGCGCGCGGCGGGATTTCACAGCCCGACACCAGCAGGGAGCCAGACAGACAAGCCGCTCCGAACGGGGCAGAGAACCTCATCCCGGCCCCTGCCTAGCTGCAGCCCGGAAGAAGGGGCAGGGCTGGGCGGTCCTTGATCCAGCTCCCGACCGCTCCTCTGCTCGGAGACCGGTGCCCGAGCCCAGCTAGCCCCCCCTACGCAGGCCGGGGAGGAACGGCCCCAGCGCAGCCCGCCTGGGCCGGCACCTACTTTGGCCCGCTTGCGGCGGCTGGTCCTTCGACCCTCGGGTGTCTCGGCTATGCCCGTAGTCTCGGGTCCGGGGGCGACGATGGCGCCGGCGGTTGGCGGCTCGGACAGGCCTCCCGGGGGAGAGGCCCGAGACGGTTCCTTCTTACGTGGAGTCCGCTCCGGGCCCCCGGCGCCCGAACCGCCCTCCGAACTCGGAAGGCCGGGCGGCGGCACCGGCACCTCCGGCCCGCTCTCCCCGCCGCCCTCGGCCGCCTTCTTGCCACCCGACAGCATCGCCTCCAGCCCGCTCCGAGCTGCCTGCAGCGAGCTGGACAAAGGGGCCAGCGAGCAAGCGCCACAGCCCCGCCCCAGCGTCACGACCGTGCCCTCGCCGCGTCCGCCGGAATAGCCCCGCCCCAGCGTCAAGACGTGCCCTCGCCGCGTCCGCCGGAATAGCCCCGCCCCAGCGTCACGACGTGCCCTCGCCGCGTCCGCCGGAATAGCCCCGCCCCAGCGTCACGACGTGCCTTCGCCGCGTCCGCCGGAATAGCCCCGCCCCAGCGTCACGACGTGCCTTCGCCGCGTCCGCCGGAATAGCCCCGGCCTAGCCGGCCCTAGCGTCACTGGGCTCGCTTCTGGTGCTTACGGTCGTGTGCGGGGCAGGAGCTGAGCCAGGCCTGTCTAGGCTCCATGGGCCTCTGAACGACACAGGGTCCCGCTTCGCCGCCGCTGGCTGCTTTCCCAGCCAGGAGTGTGCAAGTTCCAGGGGACCCCCTCGGGTCCTGGTGAGTTTGCACACCTGCAAACTTCGCAATCAAAATATCTGGGTTGTTGTATACCACGGGAACTTCCAAACTTGCATGCTCCAATTATTGTATGTATAGACACTAACATCATTCTGTAAATTAACTGTAAAATCACAGGGTGCAAATAGACTGCAATGGTTGTCTAGTCCAGTGGTTCTCAACCAGGGGTTCCCTTGGGGGCTGCCAAATAGGACCAGTGTTAAACTCGCTGGGGCTCAGTGGGGAAAGCCAAACCCCACAGCATAGGGCTGAAGCCCTGAGCCCTGCCACATGGAGCTGACAGAAGCCTGAGAAACTGGGGCTTCTCTGTGCCACCAGTGGTTTGCTTGCCCTGCTTGCTACCCCTTAACGCCAGCTCTGGCTTTTTATATGCAGAAAACCAGATGTTGTGTCACAGATGGGCCATGGAGTTTTTATAGCATGTTGAGGGGGGCCTCAGAAAGAAAAAGGTTGAGGACTCCTGATCTAGTCTACTCCCTGCCAAGATGCAGGATTTGTTGGGTCTGAATCGTCCAAGACAGATGGCTATCCAGCCTCCTTTTGAAAACCTACTGTGAAGAAGTTTTCACAACCTCCCTAGGCAGTCTGTTCCATTGTCCTACTGTTTTTACAGTTAGGAAGTTTTTCCTGAGATTTAATCTAAATCTGCTCTGTGGTTGTTTATACCCTTTACCTCTTGTCCTGGTCTCTGTGGAAAGAGAGAACAACTTTTCTCCCATCTTTTTTATAGCAGCCTTTCACGTATTTGAACACTGCTATCATGTTCCCCCTTAATCTCCTCTTTTGCAAACTAAATATATGCAGTTCCTTTAGCCTTTGCTCATATGACTTGCATTCCATACCTTTGATCATCTTTGTTGCTCTCTGCTGATCCTTTCCAGTTTCTGTACATCGTTTCTATACAGTGAACATAAGAATGGCCATACTGGGTAAGAGCAAAGGTCCATCTAGCCCAGTATCCTGTCTTCCAACAGTGGCCAATGCAAGGTGCCCCAGAGGAAACAAACAGAACAGGTAGTCATGAAGTGATCCATCCCCTCTTGCCCATTCCCAGCTTCTGGCAAACAGAGGCTATCCCTGCACATCCTGGCTAATCCTCCATGAATTTATCTAGTTCTTTTTTCAATCTTAGAATCATAGACTATCAGGATTGGAAGGGACCTCAGGAGGTCTTTGAGTCCAACCCCCTGCTCAAAGCAGGACCAATCCCCAGGCAGATTTTTGCCCCTGATCTCTAAATGGCTCCCTCAAGGATTGAACTCACAACCCTGGGTTTAGCAGGCCAATGCTCAAACCACTGAGCTATCCCTCCCCGCTTTTTAGCATCTTGGTTTTCACAATATCCTCTGGCAAGGAGTTCCACAGGTTGACTGTGCGCTGTGTGCAGAAATACTTCCTTTTGTTTGTTTTAAACCTGCTGCCCATTAATTTAATTTGGTGACCCCTACTTCTTGTGTTATGAGGAGTAAATAACACTTGTTTATTTTCTGCACACCAGTCATGATTTTATAGACATCTATCATATCCCCCCTTAGTCATCTCTTTTCCAAGCTGACCAAGTGGTGTCCAAAATTGGACACAGTACTCCGGCTGAGACCCAACCAGGACTGAATAGAGTGGTACTCTCACCTCCCGTGACTTGCATACTATGCCTCTGTCAATGCAACCCAAAATTGCATTTGCTTTTTATACAACATCACATTGCTAACTCATGTTGAGGTTGTGAGCCACCATAATTTCCTCTCCTCCTCCACCATGTCCTTCTGCTCCCATTCTGTATCTGTGTGTGATGGGTTTTCCCAGGCTGCAACCTAAACTGTAGGACCACTGAGCATTGTGTCTGACACACCTAGGCTCCCTCTCACCCTGTGATGCTATGACAAGCTGCAAACCTCTGGTAAGTACTGCAGTCACACAGACATCCACAGACAGGGACACACCCAGCTGAGTTAGAATCATGGAAGTTACATGAATGCTTCTCCCAGTCAATCATGAACTAACAATAGAGAAACTCCAGCCAATTCCCCCCAGCTCCCCAGCCTTGCAACCCAGAACATAGTCTCCAGGGCTGGAGCATCCACGGGGAAAAATTAGCAGGTGCTCCACACCCACCGGCAGCCAAGCTCCCCCCTCCTCACCTCCTTCCCCCCCTCAGCATGCTGTGTCCCCGCTCCTCCCCCTCCCTTCCAGTGCTTCCCAGCCCACCATCACCTAACAGCTGTTTGGCGGTGCTTAGGACTTTCCAGGAGGGAAGGGGAGGAGCGGGGATGTGGCACGCTCAGGGGAGGAGGCGGAGAAGAAGCAGGGCAGGGACTTGGGAGAAGAGGGTGGAATGGGGGCGGGAAGGGGCTAGGTTGGGAAAAGGCAGGGTGAGGTGGGGACTTTGGGGAAGGGATGGAATGGGGGTGGGGCAAGGGCATCGCATGGGTGGGAAGAGGCGGGGCAAGGGCGGGGTGGGGTGTCAGAATTATATCGTACTGCCCTAGTCAGAAGTCTGACCAATATACATTTAAAACCCAGTCCGTCCCGCTCTCAATTTGGAGAGGATGTGCATCAGTTTTTGTTCCTGAGCTTAGGTCTCCCAAGCACTTCAAGCAAAATACAACTGTGTTAGGAGTGCTAGTGCCAATGTAGGATTCATGCCTGTATTTTCACCTGAGATAGTATTTTCCTTGCCTCTTTGGTTTTTTGATACATATACATTCTTACTAATATGTGTGAACAAAGGGATCCGTACTAAGGACAAAGACTGTGTGTGTTCATAGAATCATAGAAGAATTAGGGTTGGAAGAGACCTCAGGAGGTCATCTAGTCCAACCCCCTGCTCAAAGCAGGACCAACCCCAACTAAATCATTCCAGCCAGGGTTTTGTCAAGCCAGGCCTTAAAAACCTCTAAGGATGGAGATTACACCACCTCCCTAGGGAACCCTTTCCAGTGCTTCACCACCCTCCTAGTGAAATAGTTTTTCCTAATATCCAACCTAGACCTCCCTCACTGCAACTTGAGACCATTGCTCCTTGTTCTGTCATGAGCCACCACTGAGAACAGCCTAGCTCCATCCACTTTGGAACCCCCCTTCAGATAGTTGAAGGCTGCTGTCAAATCCTTCCCCCCCCACCATCACTCTTCTGCAGACTAAATAAGTCCAGTCCCCTCAGCCTCTCCTCATAAAGTCATGTGCCCCAGCCCCCTAATCATTTTCATTGCCCGCCGCTGGACTCTCTCCAATTGGACACAATATTCCAGATGTGGCTTCACCAATGCCCAAGAGAGGGGAATAATCACTTCCCTCAATCTGCTGGCAACACTCCTACTAATGCAGTCCAATATTCTGTTAGCCTTCTTGAGAACAAAGGCACACTGTTCACTCTCATCCAGCTTCTCATCCACTGTAATCACCAGGTGCTTTTCTGCAGAACTGCCTCTTAGCCAGTCTGTCCCCAGCCTGTAGCAGTGCATGGAATTCTTCCATTCTAAGTGCAGGACTCTGCACTTGTCCTTGTTGAACCTCATTAGATTTCTTTTGGCCCAATCCTCCAATTTGTCTAGGTCACCCTGGACCCTATCCCTACCCTCCAGTGTATCTACCTCTTCCCCCAGCTTAGTGTCATCTGCGAACTTGCTGAGGGTGCAATCCATCCCATCATCCAGATAATTAATGAAGATGTTGAACAAAACCAGCCCCAGGACCGACCCCCGGGACACTCTGCTTGATACTGGCTGCCAACTAGATATCAAGCCATTGATAAACTACACATTTAGCCCAACAATCTAGCCAGCTTTCTATCCACCTTATAGTCTGTTCATCCAATACATACAACTTTAACTTGCTGGCAAGAATAATGTGGGAGACCTTATCAAAAGCTTTGCTAAAGTCAAGGTATATTATGTCCACTGCTTTCCCCATATCCACCAGTTATCCAGAGGCAATGCATAGGGGTGGTATGGGGGGTCGTGTCCCCACAGATTGGCCCTCTGGGGGCTGGGAGGGAAAGGGGCTCTCCCTTCTCTCCCTGCACCTCCCCCCCCCCCTTGGCTAAATTGGCTGCTCTCCGTGACAGCTGGGCAGGGAGCAGGACAGAGCAGCATCTGCCTGAGAGAGCCTGGCTGTGAGGCAGCAGCGGCCCGCTCCATGCCTGGGCTCTGCTGTGGGAGTGGAGAGAGGGGACTCCAGCTCACTCAGCCCCTGTCCTGCCGCAGGGTCTGGGTGGGGGCAGCCTGCTGCCATCCCAGCTGCCAGGGACGGGCCAAGCAAGAGACTCCACCCAGAGCGGGTGTCTGGAGAGGCTGACTGCTCCCACCTGGGAGTGTCAGAGAGGGACAGAGCCTAAAATGGAGCCACTCCCACTTGGCTGTGGCCTGCTCTGGCTTGGCCAGCTGGCGGATGCTTTAAGCATCATTTCTCCAGGCTAAGCTTGGGACTCCCCATGCTAGGTTCCAGCTGCCCATTGAACCCAACTGCTTTGCAGACGGTGCCTGGCGTGAGGGTTCCTGCGAACACTTGTGCAGTGCGTTAGTCCCTGCAGAGTGTGACAGTCTCTCACTAGGAGTCTATGGCCGTGGAACTCGCCGGGCAGAGCTTCCAGCCTGAAGCAGGGGGGCTGGAGCCCGAAGGTTCAATTATGGGCC